CTATCTTTTTTTTCCCTTGATTCTTAGGTGGTGGGGTTTTTTGGTCTCTATTTTATTATTTCTCTTTCTGCTTGGTTTGAGTTTTGCTTGTTCTTGTTTTTCTAGGAGTTTGAGATGTAGCATTAGGTCATTGATTTGGGATCTTTCAGTCTTTTTAATATATACACTCATGGCTATAAACTTTCCTCTCAGGACTGCCTTTGCTATGTCCCATAGGTTCTGGTAGGTCATGTTTTCATTTTCAGTAACTTCCAGGAACCTTTTAATTTCCTCTTCTATTTCATCAGTGACCCACTGATCACTGAGCAGTGTGTTGTTCAGCTTCCATTGTTTGCATGTTTTCTGCTGTTGTTTTTGTTGTTGAGTTCTCAGTTTAATGTATTGTGATCAGATAGAATGCAGGGGATTATTTCTGTTTTCTTATATTGCTTTGTGCCCTAAGATATGATCAGTTTTGGAGAAAGTTCCATGGGCTGCTGAGAAGAATGTATATTGTGTGGATATTGGATGAACTATTCTGTAGACATCAGCTAGGTCCATTTGATCTATGGTATGACTTAATTTTAGAATTTTTTTATTGATTTTTTTGTTTGGATGACCTATCTATTGGTGATAGGGAGTTACAGAAGTCTTCCACTACCACTATGTTGAAGTTTCTATGTGCTTTTAACTAAGTTCTTTAGAGCATGTTTGATAAAATTGGGTGCACTGACGTTGGGTGCATATAGGTTGATAATTGTTATTTCCTTTCGGTTTATTTCCCCTTCTATTAGTGTGAAGGATCCTTCTTTATCTTGTTTGATCAACGCAAGTTTGAAGTCTGCTTTGTCTGATATAAGTATTGCTATTCCTGCCTGTTTTCAGGGCCCATTGGCTGATAAATCTTCTTCTAGCCTTTCACATTAAGCCAATGTTTGTTTCTGTCAATGAGAAACAATTCTGTAAACAGATTGTTGGATCTTCCTTTTTAATTCAGTTGGCCAAATGGTGTCTTTTGATGGACAAGTTGAGTTCACTGACATTCAGTATTAATATTGATAGGTATGTGGTGATTTCTGCCATTTAGTTGTTTTTGTTGCTTAAGGATTTAATTGTGTACAGCTGAATCACTGCTATTCACTGATCCTTTGTGTTTTCTTCTCCTATGTTTTGAAACTGCCTGTCCTCTTGTGGTTTTATTTGCTTTCATCTTCTGTGTGCAGAATTCCTTGGAGAAATTTTGTAGTGGTGGCTTGGTGGTCATAAATTTAGTTTCTGCTTATTGTTGAAGATTTTTATTGCACCATCTATTTTGAATGATAGTGTTGCTGGGTAGAGTATCCTAGGGTTGAAGTTATTTTTATTCTGTGCCCGAAATACCTCATTCCATGACCTTCTTGCTTTTAAGGTTTCTGTTGAGAAATCTGCTGTGATTTGGATGGGTTTACCTTTATATGTTATGTTTTTTCTCTCTTACAGCCTTCAGTATTCTTTCTCTATTCTCTGTGTGTATTGTTTTAATGGTAACATGCCGTGGGAGGTTCTATTTTGGTCAAGTCTGTTTGGTATCCTGGAGGCTTCCTATACCTGAATGGGCAAACCTTTCTTGAGATTTGAGAAATTTTCTATTATTTTACTGAATATATGACAATTCCCTTTTGTTTGGACCTCTTCTTCTTCAGTGCCCATGATTCTCAGGTTTAGTGTTTTGATGGAGTGGGTAAATTCTTGCATATTTCTTTCACAGGTCTTGAGTTGTTTGACTAACATTTCTTCAGTTTTTTCTTTAATTTCTGTTTTATCTTAGAATTTTGAGAATCTGTCTCCCACTTGTTCTGGTCTGCTGGAGTTGCCTTCCAGTGTGTTTTGTGTTTCTACTTGGTTCTTTTTTCTGAGGTTTTCTATATCTTGGGTCACTTCCCCTTTAATATTTTTTATTTTCATCTTTAATTCATCTCTCTCTATTTATAGTATCCTCTGTTTCACTTTGGTGTTTATTTAGGGCTTCTCTGAGTTCATTTATTTCTTTGTCTTCTCATATGCTTTATTTTTGGTATTCAAAATTTCTTGAGTGCATCTTGTACATTTTGTTTCACCACATCTAGTGTCTTCTCCATCAAATTCTCAGTGATTTCTTGTAAGATTTCTTCTTTGAAGGTGTTTTTGTGGGCATCGCTGGGTTCCTTAGTGTCATTTGTCATTGTTTTGTTAGGGTTAGGAACTGGGTATCCGTTTTCTTCATTTCCCCCGAATCCTGTATTAAATTATTTTTTTGAGGAGAGTGGTTTCCATCCCTTCTTCTTCCCATTGCTCCACTTGGTGCTGTGTAACTATGTTCTTGATAGGCTAGTTGGTGGTTTTAGTTACCTATTTTCTTTCCCTTGATTTAATTTTTGCATTGTGACTGTCTTGTTAGTTAGGTTAGTGTGCTATTTCTGACCCTGGCCTGGAGGTGTGAGTTCGCAATAACTAATTCACAGGTTCAATATCCAACCAGTTGTTTATATATTATATAGAAGACACCTTGGTAGTAATATCTGTAAGCAGTGATAGTTGGGTGAGTTAATGTTTGTTAGGCTAGCTATAGAAATTTGGGGAGTTGGTTAGGGCGGCAGTAAAAGTGGAGGTGGGAAATGTGGTGGGTGAGTGAGGGAAGCAGTGCAGGGGCTGCTTGGTTTTGTGGCAGTTGTGTGTATTTGGGTGTATTTCTGTTGTGTAGGTTGCTTGTGTCAGGGAGTACAGGGAGTTGAGGTTGTGTCAAGTTGGTATAATAGGTTGGTCAGCAGGTGATGAGTATGTAGGAGGGAGGGGTAGTCTGGTGACAGGTTGGGGGAGAATGGAAGGGGAAGTTGAGGGCAGGGGTTGAGAGTGGATGCGGAGGGGCAGAAAGAGTAGTTGGGAAGGAGAGCAATGGGTTTTAGCACAGGAGAACGAAGAAGAGTGAAAGGGGTGAGAGTAGGGATGAGAAGATGGTGATGGTAAAGAAAGAAGAAAAAAGAAAATAGGAATAAAAATAGAAATAAAAAACCCACACTCATGAAACAAACAAACAAACAACAACAACAAAAGAACCCACCAGGTTCAGGAACAATAGAATTTCAGTCTTAGTTTAAGTTCTGTAGTTATTCCTCCAGTATCCAGTCCTGGTATTGGCATATAAGCAGAAGCTCTGAAGTGGTCTCACCAGGTGATTGACTTGTGAGTAGTGTTTTGCTCTTCAGTCTATCAGTTTAATTAAAGTAGTGAGGTGCGGTATGTTTGCCAGATAATGCAGGATGGTCAGAGCTATTGTTTTCCCCAGCTAATAACTGTGTTACCCTTCAGCTGTAGCTGTTTGGTCAGCTCCTCCCACAGTGAGGTGGGGCAGTTCAGTTTTGAATGCTGTCCTCTGGTTCAGGAGCTAGCTCTGCAATCCACTACCTACCCTGCTTTGGAGGTGGCTTCTCACTGTGTTTGTTTACTGATAGTTCAGTGCTGGGATTTTAGTTCTTTGCACCACCCCCTTTCTCTGGGGCAAGTTAAGCATGCCACCTGCCCCCTTTGCTGTTCATGCTTGATTACAGTTCGCTGTTTGTTTTTCATTTTTGCAAGGCAGTTTGGTTTTGGATGCTGCTCTGTGGCTGAGGAGATCAGCTCTGTGATCCACTACCCGCTCTGCTTCAGGGAGTGACTTATCACCCACCCGCTCTTAGTCTTAATTGCCTTTCCTGTGTTTATTTACTCATAGTTCTCTGCTGAGTTTAGCTCCCTGCCCTCCCACCTTCTCCAGTGCAGTTTCAGTGTGTCACCCACCCCCTCCGCTGTCCATGTTTGATTTCACTGTTTGTTATTCAGTTTTGTTGGGGGAGGATCTGTCTGCCCAGGGCTGAGCTGGTTTATGTTCCAGGGGATGTGTAGGGGATTCCCCCATGGTGCTCACCTGTTTTTTTTGTCACTTGATGCACAGGTAGGTTTGGAGCCACAGCAGTAGCGGTGAGAAATGGCACTAAATTTTCTCAGTGTAATGTGGCCTTGGGAGGTTTTCCACAGGCTAGGGGTTCATGATATTGAAAGTTTGATTCTGGCTGGTGCTTTATTTCCACTTGATGGAGGAAGAAGTAGAGAAAGAAAAAAAAAATATCTGTGGGAGAGGATGGTTTCCCCAGGGCTGGATCCCCCATGCTAGCTGTGCAGCAGGTTGCTCTGTTAGGTGCAATTAAAGGCTGATATAAGGGTTAGTCTTTGGATTTTTTCCTGCACCTAGTGTGATGGAAGTTATTATTTTGGCTAGAAGCAGTCAGAATTACTCAAGTGTGACTCCAACATCTCAGAGAGGTTTTAGGACTCACAGAGCTTAAGCTTTCTGCTTTGGTATACTAGTCGCCATCTTGAATTTCCTGGTGTATATTTGAAAATAAGACTAATTACCTGAAATCACTGAAGTACTCTTAAAATGTCTTCCATGCTGTTTTGATGTACTCAAGGATTTTCTTCTAATGTACTATATCTACATAACTTGCAATTTTATAATGCAGGAAGGAGATTAATTTATCAAAGTCCCTTAATAGATCTTTGGCCTGAGTTCAAGACTTCACATTCATTGCTTAGACTAATATACACAGACAGAAGTGAGATTAGCCATGTTTCAAATGATAGGAAATAAGCATTGTCTTATGATCTTAACTTTTACATCTTATTAACCATAGAAAAATGTTTTTTAAAAAAGTATATTTTTGCTAATATGTTTTCAATTTGCAAATCAATTACTAAAATAAGAATTATTTGTAATTATCATTATGTAGTGTCTTTAGATTTGATGGGTTTTACACAGATTGAAAACTTTCTTGGTAAAGATGTAATTTTTTTTTCCTTTTCTTTAGAGCCATCCTCTCTCTGTAAATAATATGGATTGCATTAAAGGTGACAGCTTTATCATCCAAGGGACTGGGAAGAAGAAAATATTTTAAGTATTCACAGCCAATATTCCGATTATACTTTCCTCTATATGTTAACATGCTTTCTTTTCAATTTTTTTGTTCTAGTCTATGCAAGGGAAACTTTCTAAAGAGAAATCAACCACACAAAAGATGCTGGAAGAGCTAGAAAGGAAAGAAAGAAACCTGCAGAGATTAACAAAAGCACTACTTGAAGTAAGTAGAAGAAAGTTAAATTTCCTTGGAAGGATGATTCACTGCCTTTTAAAATTTTGAGTCAATGCTGCATTTGTATATATTAATTACATTTTAATGACTTAACTACAGCAAAGTTAAATGCTATTAGGTTCCATAGTGAACAAATAAAGCATAAATTGAATAGAAACAAATAACACTCATGAAAATCCTTAAAGCACAGAAATGGGATTTCACCATTGGAGCAGATCACACTTTTTCATTTAAGTATGAGATGAAGTACTTGACCTGTGTTTGAGGACATGTTATATAAAAAATACATATTTTAACTGGCATTACATTTTACCCCCAAGTTCTTAAAAATGCATCTCCTAAAATATAAGGACATTATGCCATTATCACATCCAGTAAAACAGTAATTCCTTGATCTTGGTAACCTAGTATATATTCAAACTTCTCCACGTCATCAAATATTTTTAGTGGCTATTAAAAGCACTATTTCATTATAGCGTTTTATAAATGTAAGGTCCTTGTCTTCACCTGTATTTTTGTCTTGTTGGAGAAACTAGAAGCCCATTTGCTCATAGACTCATAGATTGTCACACCTTCTAGATTTGTCATATTGCTTCCTCATTAGTGTCATTTATCTTGTTCTTTATCCCCCTGTATTTCTTGTAAGGTTGATATTAGAACTAAAGACATCATGAAATTCACGTCAAAATTTTTTGAATACTTTTAAATGTTCACATCATTAGATGTGTGCTTATTCTTTGTAAGTGACATACAAATACTGGCAGCTCTGGGTTAAGGTGGTGAAAGACTGACTTTTTCCACTCTGAAATTGCTGTAGCTGCAAACAAATTTGTAGGACTTGTGAATATGTGGTCTACCAGTACCCTCTCTGGATGGTTTTAGCATCCACTGATGATATTTGCCTAATCAGTAGATGTTTAAAATGTATTTTTCTTTTAATAACTTCATTCACTTTTTATCTGTTAGCTTGCATTCATCTATAAAATTGTTTGTATTTTGAGACAGGATCTCATTTTGTATTTTAGGCTGGCCTGGAACTCACTTTGAAACTCACGCTGGCCTGGAGCTCATGATCTTCCTGCTTCCATTTCCCAAATATAAAAATAATCTTTTCCTCATCCTACCATGCTATTTGGTTATTCTGAAATAGATTTACAACTAGAAAACTCATAAAACTTACCTTTAGTTTTCATGGTGAGGAGTTGGCGATAATTTTGGAGGCAAGAGTAGCATTTTCTGAGTATAGCAAATTATAAATTCATATTGATACTTTTAATTCAAATTTAACAATTCAGAGGGGTTTTTTTCCCTTTAGTATTATACTCATATTTATTGGTCTCTAAATTTTGGGTTCCTGTCAACATTTTTTTTCTCAATATACAAAAAAATAGTTTGAAAATAACTACGTCACTGTTGCTACTAACATTAGCATCACAGAATGAGGTTTAGTTTCCTTGTAGTTCTTTTGTCCTTGGAATAAATCTCATTGTAGAAAAATACAGGCACAATTAAGATACACATTATGTGAGAAACCTCTAGAACCTAAGACTGGATTTATGTCTTTTCCTCTCGTTTTACCTTAAAGCGTCAGAAGGCACAGAAGAATCATTTCCAGTTTATTTATATATATATATATATATATATACATATATATATATATATATATATTCCTACTGTGTGTATGCATTTTGAATTTGGTTAATGTACATATGATAGGATATTTGATAATAGACTTTAGATTATTAATTTAGTGGAAAATGTTAACCTGTAAAGGGCTTTTGAGTACCTTTCCTCTGTTCTAACAACTGATTTTTTTTTTTTTTTTTAAATCATTGCAGAACCAAAGACAAGCAGAAGAGATGAGCCCTTTATTGGATCAGGGCCAGGAGGCAGACCAATCTAGGCAGCAGACCATTCATTCCAAGTGGCCGCTGTTTGATTTGACTGTGATTGATCAGTTGTTCAAAGAAATGTCCTATTGTTTGTTTGACTTGAAAGCACTATGTAGTATTCTTAATCAGCGAGCTCAGGGCAAGGAGCCTAATCTTTCATTATTACTGGGAATCAGATGTAAGTGGCTGATGACTTCTCCTTATTTTATTGCTTAACAATTAGAAGCCTATCTTTACAAATCAAGAACTTTTCCCTGTTTATTTTTTGTTATCTCCTTTCCTCCTTGGATTTATGAATCTCTGAATCAGTGTGTGAGTTTTACTTCGTTATTAGAATTGACCTCCTTATACCTATAGAAGTCACTGAGTTCATAGTTGATAAAGGCTGCCACTTGGCAGAATTCCTGGAGATGTTTCCTGTGTTGAATCTGTAAATGTGTGTCTCCAGTGGTAGTTAGGAGTAATTTCTCAATTACTTTTCTAAATAGTAATGATTTTGTCTGTTAATTTCATATGGTAGTGATGTAAATTAATGACCCAGCCTTTGTAAGAAAACTCACTGCTTCTGTATGCAGTGTATGCTTTTACATGAGCCATACTGAGTAACTGCCCCATTCCCTTCCTCTTTATAGATATGTGTACATATATATATATATATGAATGTGGGTCTATAGAAGTACTTAATGTTTGAGAATATTCACTCAGTACATTAACAGATGCTTTCAACGGTCCAGCACTAAATTAGGTACTGGTAATGCAGATAAATTGGACACAACCCTCTCCAACAAAATATTAGAGTGTTAAGTGCTATAATTGAGATGTGGACAGTGGAAGAAAATGGCTAAATTTGCATGGGAAGGGATGTGAAGGCTTCATGGTATAGCTGGTGTCTCATGTGAATCTCAGAAGAGGAAAAGGAGAAGTTTACCAGATAAACCTCTGCAGTTTAGTTAGACATGATGTCAGGAGCAAGAAACCGAAGTTCACACCTAAAAGACTGATTTTCTCCATCATTTTAGAACTGGTCACCCCTTCGGTTATTTTGTAATCCACTACATTTTTACTCTAGCATTTGCAGACTTTTTCATTAGTGGAATAATAGAGCTATCCTAATATAAGTAAAGGGGAAATTCAAGAATTTTACCATCTTCACCCCCCCAATGTATATTCCATCCAGTCCTTAAAGTTCACACCTGGAATTCTTACCTTATTTTTGGCATTGTGAAAATTTGACCAGCTAGCTAATTTTTCAAAATCCAGTGGATTCTTTGAATTCTTATCTCTGACTCCTTTGATTATCTGTTAACACTGCACCCACCCTTCTTAAAATTCTCTGCTACCTTGGTTTCCATGACATCACCCTCTAAGTTCTGTTTCTTTTGCCTTTGTGACTTCTCAGTCTCCATCTTCTAAGGGCTCCCTGCCATTTATTTATTGGGGAGCTCAGAACCTTTAGTTGTTGCTATTGTTGTTTTGGGTTTTGTTTTGTGACAAGGTCTGGATTATTAGCCTCAAACTAGCCTTCTGCATCTACTTCCTGAGTGCTGGGATTTCAGGCCTGGCATTTACTTTTTTTATTGTTATTTCCTGCTCTCTCTGAGTAACCTTATCTATGTCCTGTTGTTTACTGTTGTCATTATACCTTTCCCCCATATAGACATTTATCTCTTACCCTGCCTATATCTCTTTGAGCTCCTGATTATAGTCACCCGTATGTATATTAGAGCTGATGTATATTTCATTGGCATCAGAGACTCATCCTAACTAAAACAGAACCCACTTTTCTTACCCCTAAATTTATGCCACCTCACAGTAAGTAGCACCACAATCCACCTGTCACCTCAGCCCAGATTTTATGTTCCACTCTGCTTTTTCTTCACCTATGACCTGTGTCTACTCCCTAACTTGACCCAAATAAGTAATTGAGCTCTATCAAATCTCACATTTATTCCTGATTGTGCTATTGCTTTATTCACCCTTTCATAGCCCTGAACTTGAACTGGTCTCTCTGACACTCATCTTGCTCACTTTCCTTCCCCCAAGTCCGTTTTTCACATTGTTACCAGGGTAGTCTGTATAAACCGTGAATCTGGTGTATTAATACTTACACTTTCTTATTTCTTAAAACTCCTCTCTCTCTCTCTCTAATTTGTGTTCTACCATTTTAAAGCTACAGACCAGTTTTCTTGAGGTTTCTCAAATTTTATAAGACTATTTTGTTATCTGATTTCTTGGCCCACCTAGTGAACTACATATCACTTCTTCAGATAGGCATATATGTTCCCTTCCTTTTCTCTTCTGCAGCTTGTGGGCAGTAGTTGGTCACCTATGATATTCACTGTGCTCATTTGTTTATACAGTTTTTTTATAAAATATTAAGAAAAAGCCACTGACATCGACATACAGCATAACCCCTGGGTCATGGCAAATGTTCAATTAGTGCTTGGGATTGCAGGGTCCTGATACCTTCATGATACATATTGAATGTTAATATTTGCATGCTAATAAAAGCCCACTTTGCAATCATAAAAATTTAATATACTTCCTTTCACTGTTCAAAAGATTTTCAGATTTTGTCAAGTGGGAATAACTGAGTGCTCTAGTTGAGTTTGAAAAGAGACATTAGAACATGCTCCTTTTTGTGTTTGGACTGTTGTCATCCATTAAACATATTGAATTTGTGTGTATCACTGTCTGATTTTAATGCATTTTAATTAGCACAGTTTGAAAAGACCAAGTAGATAAATCTGTTTAATATCGAAGTATGTATAAACCTAAGCCTCACTGGTATTCTCTACATAGCATTGTATTTCCTGAATTAAGGTGAAAATCCTAAAATGTCTGTTCCCAAAAAAAGTGAGACATCCTCTCCATGCTTTATTTACACAGCAATGAACTGTTCAGCTGAAGAGACTGAAAATGACCACAGCCCAGAAACACTCACTAAAAGACTGTCAGATGTGTGCCAGTTACGGAGGGACATTGATGAATTAAGGACTGCAATATCAGACCGCTATGCTCAGGACATGGGAGACAACTGCATTACCCAGTGATCATGTGTTGGTCCCACAGCAATAATGACCATTGCTAAATGCTGCTGTGCTATGGTTCCTCATAATTTTTTTTAGGAGTTATAATGTAAAATTGCAAGTGACATGACTTGCAAATAGGGGTTGTTTTGTTTTATTGAGGGTAAGGAGGGTTGTGAGAAGGTTTTGAAGGGACTTACCTAATCAGGCAAAGAAAATCAAATTACCATTTGAAAAATGTGATAAAGCATACAAGGAAAAAAAAAAATCTGTATTCTCAAACTACTGATTGTAGGACCAAGCTGTGAACAGTGCCCTTCAGATAAAAGGGTAGCATTTTATTTAATCCTCCTGTTTTGTGCATTTGTGTGTGCATGTACGTACATGTGGTGTTTTTATGTGTGTGCTTTATTCACAAAATAATAGAATTTCAAGGGTCAAAACAGAGCTTCTAAGAAGGCACACACTGCTTATCCTTTTATTTCATATAGAAACTTGTGTTATATTTTGAGATTTTCAAGGGCTGGCTGAGTAAGAGTTCCAACAGCAAGCAAGTTTCTAGTAGAAGTACAGCAGGCAAAACCATTTGTGTTTTAAACAATCACTGTGCTGAGATGATGAAGTTGTGGGATTGATGTTAGTACTGTAGATAGGTCAGCTGTTTTTCCAGAGTGATTGTGGGTTGCCTTAGAAGTATGACATGATGATCTTTTTCATTAGTGCTATAATTTATATATTACAAGAAAGTTTAACAATTTGGACTAATTTTGACATGCTCCTTACTATTTACAATTATTATTTTATATGTCATATCAATCTAAAAAAGCCATATATAATTAATGCAAGTTCTCTAAGGCCTCAGATCATTATTGTAAAAAGAAAAACTGGCAAAGTGACTCTGGAACGATAGCTTATTTATCCAAATCTCAACGTTTACATTCTGTTTTGTACCTATTTTAAAGTTGAAGCTATTTTAAGAGGAAACCTACTCATATTCTTTATATCTGAATTAACACTATCATAAAATAAAATTAAACCTAGATGTTTTAATTTCTTTTATTAGATATATCATATTAACAATGAGGTTTCCTATAGCATATGAATTTGGCTCAGTTAGTTGTTCATCTGGAGTACCAGGGTAGAACATGAAATGCAACTAATTTTAAGTAGATACATAATCATTTAAACTTCCAAATGAGTATTGTCCATATTTTAGTTGGCATTTTGGAAAGAAAATATATTTTATTACCTTTGAAGCATTTATTACATTCTTTTAAATATACCTAGTTATAGCAAAGCATTATTAGTCCTTTGTAAGTTTGTTTGATTTTTTTTATATATAACCAAATTTCATTCAGGCAAGACTAAATAAGAGGGATAATAAAGGGTATGAGTCAAGCAGGATAATATTGTTTTATTGAGAGCTCATATGCTTGTTTTCTCACCAGGCTTATATGCTAGTGTAAAGGCTCCTCCTATAAAAGGTTTTTCTTATTCTCACCAATGAAACATTTTGGGATGACATCTTCAAGGTAACTACCCAGGAATGTACTCAATTCAGCATTTTGGCTTATATACTGCTCTCAAATAAGTTGTCTTATAGTTGCATTTCAACAATTCATTATAATACATTGTAAAGATAACATTTTTTTCCCTCTGAGTCTACCCTGCTCCTCCTCTTGGGATATAGCCACTGAGAAATCAGTGTATTAGTGGCATTTTGCACCTCAAGTTCTCTAACCTAAGAGAGACTGACTTAGTGGCTGGTAAGAACTAGGCTTTCTAAAAATGTGTTCATTTGGTTTTAAATGTTAGTACTTTGAAGACAATCAAGAAATCATAAATTTATACCAAAAATTAGATGCAAAGTAGTCTGTCTTACAAAATTAATGTTTGGTGTAGATGGCCCTGTACAGTGAAGTAGATAATATCACCTAGCATAGATCAGCTAGTACAACTAGTAATATTTTTACCTTCTTTTTGGATGGAATCCCCACCATCTTGTCATGATTTCTGAAATAAAATCACCTAAAATAACAGAACTAATGAGCAAACTATCACTAATTTGGATAGTTTCTTACTTAACCTATCTTCTTGGTTTTTAGTTTATGTTTGGGGACTTTGTGCTTGTTACTATTTTAAACAAATTTATGGTCATTTGTTTGTATCTGTCATAGGTACAGTTTTATTTTTTTAGCCAGAAAAATAATTTTTTGTTTTAGTAAGTTTTCTAAAATGTACAGAATTTAATTCATGTATCTTCAGGTAAAAAATTTAACTTGGGACATTAACAAATTTCTGCTGATATATTTTATTTTCTAAGTTGTATACTTCCATTTTAAAAAGGAATAAAGATATGATAGTTTAAGTATAATGGATTACAAAATATCATCTCTTAGAGTCTGGAGTTAGGCTATAAAAAGGCCACAATGAAAAGTAGTCAGCCTTGGAGGGACTTTGGTGGGGGAATGAAACTGTTAGTATTCCAATTATTCAGCATTTGTTTTTTGAGTTTTATTTTTCATAAAATTCCCCTTCCTCAAGACACCCTCTTGTATTAAAACAGTTGTAATACTGGTATTGCATTGAAAAGAGTGTACCATTAGGTCAAGTAAGATGGGCCAATAGCAACACTATAGTGTTTTTATCTCTTTTAGAACTAGGACATTCATGGACCTTATTACAGTTACCTGCCTGAATGAAAATTAACCTAAATTTTAAAGTAAATCTATTTGAAAATTTTCTTAGGTAATAAGACCTTTTAAATTATGCTTTGTATATTAAATGTTTATCCTCTAAGTTAATGCAATATTAACATTAATTACTAGTCTTTTCAAATTGAGGTTATTCTAACTCAGTCCCATACAAAAGAAAGGAAGCAACAGTTGTATCAGTGAAAGATCCACAATACCTGTGCAGATAGAATTAACTGAATCAAGGGCACAAGAACTGTCTTTTCTTTTGAAGTCAAAAATAGGATGACTTTAGTTAAACTGTTAGTAAATTTTCAGTGGCCGCTAATATAAAATTTTTAAGTCTTCACTAGGTAAGATATGTCTGAAAAAATTTTTGAGGTGTAACCCCTTTTATATTTGAAATAGGATTCGGTATTTAATATTAACAGTATTACATCTTAGTGAAATTTATTTTGGTTGTGACAGGTTTTTAAACTGACTTAAGCTTTTTTCTGTAGTTTGCTGGAAAGCTCAAGGGATGTTAAGTGTTGCTAACATGAGTATAGTACATTCCTGATTTACCAATGAACTTAATAGGGATCTCTTAGTGGATATTTGTAAAGGAACTGCTTTATTGGGAGAATGTTCTTTAAATGTCAGTAAAATAGTTCATTGAGTAACAGGAGCTGAGCACTTGGACTGCATTTGTACATAGCATAGTGTAGCTTAGGCACACCTTATTTTGGGTTGCTGGCGTTCTCTTATGTAGATTTCTATCCTTGTAGATATGTAATTTGTAAGAAGTAATTCTCATAACCATGCACATTGAGACTGTAGTTCTCAGAGCTGAAGTTCTTTTGTTTCCATTTTGACAAGTCTTTTCACCCAAAGCTATCTCCTATTTGGTATAAAGAGTAAAATTTCCAACTTTGCCCCAAACACCATTGGTGGTAATTGCTATATGACTATATCATACATGTAATCATGATGGGGAAATATTTTAGATTTTGTCTTATTTAAAAGAAGTATTGACTATAATAAGAAAGTAGTTTCTAATCAGTAAGTCATAAGCAACACAGTTGTGGCTGTATACAGAGAGAACCTTTTGTGCCTTTTTGCCTACAGTAAGTGTTTGTTTCTATTTTACATGAGCTATGAGAATGTTAATGATTATTGCACCTTGTTCTTCTGTAAATAGACTTGATTAAGGATTCTGTTTAAGCAAGAGGCAGTTTTTTCTTACCAGATGGCTACTTAGTAAACATGAGGGCAATTACCAGATATATTTCTTTGGAACCCAGCCTTCCTTATGTAGTGAGCAGGAAATTGCTTTAGAATGTATTCATTTGTGTGTGTGTGTGTGTGTGTCTGTGTGTGTATGTGTATACACACATATATATAGCTATTTAAATACATAAATGTAAAACTCAGCATCACATTGATGTGATGACAAGTAGTAAGGTGCTAGGTGGTTACGTTAAAAGCACAGAGTGTAATCATCAGTCACTATGACTGGTGGGTTTTGTAAACTAGGTTCAGTTTTTGAACCACCCAGAATACCTCATGTGTAAATACGATGTTCATGACTTATTGAAATGCAGTTACTATAAAAAAAGAATGTGAAGCCACTGGTTGGCTTATGCCTTTTAACCTATCATTTTTGCCTCCTGTTTTATAAAGGGGTTGTTCTGTTTTTGTTTTTAATAGGGTTTACAGCTAGAAATTTGAATGCCAAAGTTCTATTTATTAACTAAGAAAAAAGTTTTCAATGTTAATGGCTAGTATTTTTCCACTGGACTATTGTTTGTTGATGTTGAAATTTGTATTTACAGAGAAATAAATTTTTTATAAAAAGATTTATGTCTTCCTAGTGCCTAATGTTAATATAAGAATGTATTTGAGGGGCTAGCGATGTGGCTTAAGTGTAGTGCACCTTAGCAAGTGTGAAGTCCCAAGTTCAGACCTCAGCACTACCAAAAAAAAAAAGAGAGAGAGAATATATTTGCAGTTCCTTATTCTATTCTGAGTTCTCAATGATAAGAATATGCTGACTTGATCTTAGGTAGAAGCTTTTTATAAATACACAAGAGAATTGTAACTAGAACATGGAGACTTCTGCCTTCTAAGTCTGTCTTATAATTTCTTTTCATGTACTAAAACATCTTTTTTTTCCTGGGCTTTCCTATGAGAGGTGTAGAGATTTTCTGATGAGAGGTTCCATAAATACGAAGTCAGACATATATGCATTTCAGTTAATGGTGTTGTGTCCCCTTAGGAATTTTTTTATAATTTGTATTTAAATTAGAAGTTGTCTTTCTAGTTTTCTAACAGATAAAATCTGGCTCCCATTTTCCAGATTACTAAAAGTTTGAGCTGGTGAGTCAAATCTTTTTGGCTTTCTCGCCCTTCTCATCATAAGTTAAAGCCTTACTGGTACCTGTACAGATGAGGTCTTGATACCTGGCCTTGGCGTCTCAGCTTGGGTCTGCCAGTCTAGGCCTGGAAATGCCATGTGGATGGTGCCTGGTTCCTTGTTTTAAGACATACAGGTTGTAGCCTCACTCTCTAGGAAGCTGGCTAATTTTTAGATTAACTAAATCTTTTTTAGGATCAGCTAACTTGGCACTGCTCTTGCCAAGTCTTTAATGAGGCATTTTGTTGAGTTATTAAAAAAATAACCCCTTTAGAAATCCTAAAAACTCATATCACATACTACTTAAGTTACAATTAAATGTCTTAGAAATGTCTAGAGTATTTCTATGGTGACCAGTAAACAAGTTTTTCCCTCAGAATTAAAGGATCATTTTTGAATTTTTTTTAAGTAAGATATTTTGATAGAGTCAACAATGAACTTTTGATACAGTATTCCCAGTGATTTTGCTAATAGTTTGAGCTTTTTTATTTTTTAATATCACCATTTCCCTCAGATACTCATTATGTGTCAAAAAGCAGAATGAGGCCCTGAGTTCAAACCTCAGTACCACGAAAAACAAAACAACAAAAAAAAGAACTCAAGTAAAAAAAGGGTATGACATCTTAGTAATGGCACTGCCATAGTGGGTCCAGTAGAATAGGCATTTTTCAAAGAATGCTAATGTTAGTCAGTTGACATCTTCCTTGACTTAGGAAATACTCCAGTTTGAGGAATGAAATTATGATAAGAGATTTCAAAAATGTTTTTTAAAAACTGCTGTTCTTGACAAAAATTTGTTTGATCACAAAAAGAAAAATCCATATTCACCAGCATGTTTTTACTTACACAGTCTCACTCCATCTCTTGATTCGAATAGAAGTTTCAAACAAAACATACCAACTCTGTGACCAGGAAATTCTACTCTTTAATACTTGAGATATCAAGGAACATCTTTTACTTGAGATAAATAAAAACAAATGCCCACAAGAAAACTTAAATGAATGGTTTACAGCAGCTTTATTAATAATAAAAACTGGAAACGTCCCAAAGGGTCTTTCAGTAAGATTTCTTGAACCTGAAGTTGAAAAATAATGTTCTTTTCCATCCTTGGGTTCTAATTGATTGAGCCATTCATATTCTATATACTTTTTTGAGAGAAGGAGTAAAGTTAAATACAAACTCGAAGGACAGTCAGATGGGAAACAGGTCTCCTGCCTCCCAGTGGCACTCCTGTTTTGTGCATTCCCTTCAGAGTGTTGTCCTCTATCATGCTAACCCTTGTCCCTTTGTTCTCCCCAGTTTACTAGAATTGCTTTCGTCCTTCCTGAAATGGGCTGTTTATGCCATTGTTTGTTCATTGTTTGGGTGTCAGTCTTCTACCAGACTTTGAGTGATACAGCAGGCACCTTATTAAACTTTGTGTTTAATGTGCAAAATGATTCACGAGCTTCCAGAGACATGCAAATGTTTGGCATTAACTCTAGGAAGTAGGAACCCTATCTCCAAGTGGAAAAACGTGGTCTTTAAAGAATGCTTCTAGGAGAGCATGGAACATTTAATAGAGTGATTTTCCCCTGTCCCTCATTCTTGTTAATGTCTCCTGTGGGTACAGGCCACAGGACTGGACACAGTTCATAGCTCCAGTGCCCCTGGAGCAAAGTGTACTCATCCAACAATGTAGGCTTTGTAAGGGCAAATTGGAGCTCTAGCATAAAAGAGGAACAAAATTTCAATGTAAGAAAGCAAGGCAGAGCATGGTGGCTCAAACCTATAATCCCAACTACTTGGGAGGTCATATGTAGGAGACTGTCTGTCTGAAGCTGGCCCCTGGCAAAAACTGAGACCCATACCTGAATAATAACTAAAGCAAAAGTGGGTGGGGGGCCAAGGGGTGTGGCTCAAGTGCCACCAAAAAAATTAAGAATGCAATTGCATCTAACTTTAAGTTTGTGAAACTTAAGCTTGAAAAATAATAATTTGTACAAGTAGTATAGTTAGCGCCTCTTCCAAACAAAGAAGGAAGATAATTTAGTTTTCATTTATACATGACTACTTAGTCATAAAACAAGTAGTAAACATTTTAAGGATCCATGCTAGCTAAAACTCAACCTAGGACGTGTGTCTTCTATATTGTTTTATTCTTTATTAGCAAACATTTTGATCACAGACCTTGCACAAATTTATCATATTTATTTCCAAATATAATATCCTATTAACTAGGTGCTTATCACCACCTGAAAGTAATTAAAGCACGGAGAGTTTATATTGACTAAGTTGGGACAGCTTGTAAGAGGCAGAGCTCCAGTAAGATCCAGGCTCTACCCTCCTCACTAGACTGCCTCCTAGTCCTCCTTCCCACACATGCACCCTCATGCTTCACTATTTCTGTTAATTGCATCTTTATTCCAAGAATCCTTTCTAGCAATTTTTTTTCTCCCTTACATCCTATTTGTGTTAGATTTCTTGGTTCTGGGCTCGGGATGCTAAGTGTTCCCAATACTCCCAAAGCCACACATGCTTGTTTCTTCTACACTTGTCCTAGTATGTTGGACTCCTGCTTAAACACTTAATAGGAAGTACATGAAGAAAATAGACAAAACTGCCAAGCTTGACTTCTTCATGCAAATTGGCGTAAGAGACAACTCCAAGGTCATTGCCCTCACAGTAATGAAGCCACAGTGGAGATGTTACCAAGGCTAAGATCCATTGTGAGACTGGTGAGTATCTGCCACATTGAAATGTGTGCCAGCATCTACATAGAACACCTCTCTGGTCTACTCAAAGTTCTGAATATCATGCTGTTGACCCTGCATGCCTGCACATACCAGAAAAGGCACAGAAACCTGGAGCAATTTGCTTGTCTGGAAGACCACATGCTCCTGGCAACAGGTGTACTGACAAATCATATGAACACCGTCAAGGAGCAAATTTTGCTCTACTGAGAAAGCTGAGTGTTTGAACTCCCACTTTTGTCTGCACAACTCTTGGATTGAGCATGCACTGGCTGCCCTGCATATTGAGCTGGAAAAAGATATGCATGAGGGCAGAAAGAAAAGTGTGGGAGACACAAGCAGAAGAAGGTCCTGAAAGAGTAGCCCTGTTTTTTCTCCCAATCATTGCTCAAATATGGCCTGAAAGCCAAGTTTCCAACTGGGTCTCGTAAGCTGCCTGTGCAGGAAAGAAGGGGAGGGGGAAAAAAGGGGGAGGGAGGTAGAAGGTAGTGCTCTTCTATTCCTAATTTATTGGGTAAGTTTAAATCATTAAAGCTTGCTGAATTTTGTTGAATCTGCATCAATTGAGATGATCATGTGGAATTTTTTCCTTCACTTTGTTAATGTGGTTACAATTTGATTTTTTAAATTTTGAATCATCCTTGCCTTCTAGCAATGAAACTCAGTCATGATAGTTGATCCTTTCAGTATGCTGATGAATTTGGCATGCTAGTATTTTCTTGAGGTTCCTTTGGACTCCTTTTAGGATTCTCTTTTCTTTATTTTTTTTAGCAATCTTACTATCTTGCAGCTAGGAGTAGCTTTGTTTATGTTTTTTGCTGCTTAGATTGAATACAGTTCTTTGAATCCGTGAGGTAGTCTTTTCTTAGTTTGGGAAAATCTTCAGCTATTATTCCTTTAAATATCATTTCAGTCTTACTTTCTCCTCTCTTTATTGAGTCAATTACATCTACCTCCATTTTTTATCTTCTGTTTTTGCTATTGTTTTGATCTTTTTTCCTTCATTCTGAATATTCTCATGTATTTTGCAACTCACTATTTCTCTTTTTAGCTGTATTTATTTATCTGTGAAACCCATCCATTGAGTTCTTGATTTCAATTATTACATCTTTCAGTTTTAGAATTTCCATTCTTCTCTAGAATTTCAGTTTCCTGCTAACATTCTCAATTTTGTAATTTATGTCAAGCACATTAGGTGTAAATCTTTTAAAGACATTATCTGTAACCCTAATTAGTCTGTTCTACTGACTCTCGTTTCTTTTTTTCCTTTTTTTTTTTGCAGTACTGGCTTTGAACTCCAGGCCTCGTACTTGCTAAGCAGGCATTCTATCATTTGAGCCATGTCCCCATCCTTTGTTTGGTTAGTTTTGAGATACAGTCTCACTTTGTGCCCTGACCAGCATGGACTGCTGTCCTCTTATTTGTAATTCTCACATAACTGGGATGACAGATGCACACTTACAAACTTTTTGCTGAAGCTAGCCTTGAGCCACAATCCTCCTGATCTCCATCTCTCAAGTAGCTGAGATTATAGGTATGAGCCACTATACCCTGCCCTATCTTTTCATTTGTTATAAACTGGCTTTCTTATACACCTGGTTATTTTTAATTGAGTTTGGGACATTGTACATGAAGATATTATAGACATAATTTGAGACTTTAGAAAATGTTATGTTATTCCATCAGGATTTAAGTTTGCTTCTGGCAGGGATAGGGCCACTAGGGAATCCAAATTTCCCTAGTCAAATCAGGGATGCGGTTGATTTAGAGTAAGAGTTTGGGCTGCTGGGAGTGTAGTCTA